AGAAGGCGTTCACTGCACAAGACGATAGATGACGACAGATGAGGTGTGTCACGAACTACGTCGTGACACCTCAATTATTCCACCAACAATGACCCTCCTTTGACCATCAAAACCCCTATCACGTCTTAACCTCTTCACTCTACACGTAACTCAAGGACATTTGAGACCAACTACGGCAAAGTACAACGGGAGAATAAGGTGTACAGGGGTCTGGAGCATAAGGACAGCGAAGTACGGCAAAGTTAGACAGAGTTAGGCTAAGTAGGGACAATGGAAGCAGAAGTACGGCGAAGTTAGACGGAGTTAGGCTAGGTAGGGACAATGAGAGCAGAAGTACGGCAAAGTTAGACGGAGTTAGGCTAGATAGGGACAAAGGGAGCAGAAGTGCGGCGATGTTAGGCGGAGTTAGTCGAAGGAGGAAGAGGATGGCCGGGGGTTCAGGGAAGTTGGACGAAGTACGTTGAAGTACGTCAAAGCGCGAGAGGGTTGGGTGAACGTCTAGGAAGGATAGATAATATTAGCTGAGAAGATCGCCAAAGTTCTTCAGCAATCCTTGATTGTTGTCAGTAGTGAAAGATAGATAGAGATAGCTACACTTAAATTGAGATACATCGCCATCAGTAAATCAAAACCCTAGTTAGAGTAACTACGTCGAAGTACGCCGTAGTTACACTCCTTTCAACGTCTGCGCCCTCCTGGTTGGGTGAGACATTGAGTTAAAAGCGTCAAGTTAGCCGAGGTTCGTCAACCGTTGGTCTGCTAGAAAGTAGTTGTTCGACAGCCGTGACAACGTGATTGATGTATACAATGTCGAGTCAGGTTGACTCAGTGATGGGAGGGTGATTAAGGTTGAATGGTGATCCACATGTTGTACGATGGAAGAAGTTGAGACGATTTGAGTAAAGTTGACTGGACTTGAGTGAATGATATGCACGTGGTATTTACAGATATTCGAGGGTAATGACACCCTCGCCCAGGTCGTCCCTCTAGATTCACTGGTTGAGTCCTAGCACAAATCTGTCACATTCTCATTTGAAATCAAAGAGCAACAGTTCACCAGTTGCTTGGTCTTTTTAGAGAACATGACGTCTCAATCCGGCACATTACGCAACACAAATTGGGCTACAAAAGATGTATTGCCCATATCAAACCCTTCCTGACTCCTAATGCATGCCGTTGACGACTCGCCTATGCAATTGAACATAAACATGATGACATCAATGATTGGAGAAGGACTATTTACGTGGATGAAGCCATGATTTGTATGAATGGATCTGTCCGGTCCTGGGTGACCCGGCAAGATGGAGAGGCATGGTTGGAGGACTGTGTGACTGTCACAAACCGCGTCATAACATCCCTGACAACTACCATCACCGACCCTCCTTTCACCATCACCGAACCACTACCCATCACCACCCCGAACCACTGAGACCGACTACAACAAAGTTACGGGAACCTAGGGACTGTTAGTCACAACAACTCCGCCTAACAGAGAACTACGGCGAAGTTAGGAGAAGGGAACCGAGGGAGGCAGAGCAGAGTAGGGGAAGTTAGGCAAAGTTAGTCGAAGTGAGCGGAGTAGGATATCAGGGATATGGCGAGGTACAGCAAAGTTGAGCAAAGAGGACTGAGCGCGAGGCTGTGCAGAAGTTGAGGGACGTTCTATGAGAAGAGAAGGGAAGTATAGATAGTTTACAGATCGCTGAACTTCTTCAGCGATCCTTGATTGTTGTCAGTAGCAAGAGATATATTCAGTAGCTACAACCATCGAGTTAGGGAGAGCTACCACCGAGCAGTTCGACGCACCACGGCGAAGTTAGCCGCAGTTCATTGACGATCACCTTATTGTTTACCACTTGACGCACCTTACGGCATAGTTAGCAGTAGTTCTTTGACAAGTAGTTGTCTCAGTAAGACATCGACGCCCCAAGACAACGTAGTCAGCCAAGGTTCGTTGAGCCATCAATCAGTAGAGAAGAAGTACCGACGATTGTGACAATGACAACAGATGTGTCACGAACCATGTTGTAACATCCCTGGCAACCACCATCACCAACCCTCCTTTCACCATCACCAAACCACTATCCACAATTAACCACCATAACCCGAACCACTGAGACCAACTACGACGAAGTTACGAGAACCTAGGGATTATTAGTCACAACAACCCCGCCTGGCGGAGAACTACGGCGAAGGTAGGAGAAGGATACCACGGGACACAGAGTAGAGTGGGAGAAGGGAGACAGAGTGTGGCAAAGTTAGGAGATTGGGGATATGACAAGGTACGGCAAAGTTGAGGGAAGAAAACTGCGCGCAACGCTGTGCAGGAGTTGAGGGACGTTGTGTGAGAAGAGAGGGGAAGTATAGATAGTTGACAGATCGCTGAACCTCTTCAGTGATCCTTGATTGTTGTCAGTAGCGAGAGATATATTCAGTAGCTACCACCTTCGAGTTAAGAAGAGCTACCACACAGCAGTCCGACGCGCCATGGCAAAGTTAGCCGTAGCTCATTGTTAGCCGATAGAATTGGGCCAGGACGGCCGAACCGCCGTTAGAATTACCCCTTCCGTCGAATATTTCTCCGTTCAACTTATCCTCTGAACTTTATTCGATCGTCTCTGGTTTACTGCATGTGTGTTACGACCCTGTCGTAACCCATGTAGTAGATGACCGTATAATATCGTACTGTACCGTATTGTAGTCGAGCTGCAGATGGGAGATAGCAATTGGTCTATACAGACTGGAGTCGCAAACTGATCTTACCATATGCACTTGCCATTGGCAACTACCATTTGCGACTACCAACTGTAAGTACCGTTTGTAAGTACCGTCTGCGCCTACCGTCTGTAAGTACCATCTGTACCTACCATTTGTAGATACCAATGGTACTTAGCTACCGTCTGTGCTACAGACGGTGAAGGACAGTTGGGCTCTAGAAAAGTATATAAACCCTTCTGTAGGATCCTTTATCTTAAGGATCGATATATTTTCTTGCCACATACAAGATCTCTACTCACCATCTACTAACCTCTTCTTGTCACCCCTAATCCCTTTGTCACCATCTCGACTTGCCTGATCCTTCCAAGTCATCTTAGTTGTCCGACCAACTTCACAAGCTACGAGCTATACACCAGTCTTCATAGCTCAAGCCTGTAAACTGTTGTAGTCCACCTGTCTCCATTCCTCTCAGAGATCTGGTGGGGACAGGTCGTGACAATGTGAGTGGAATGTGATAAGTATAGAGACATGTAGAATTGATGCATGCTCTTTTTCCCCTCTGTATTACCATCTAATTATCAGCAAACACTCATCAACAATCACCTTATTGTTTACCACTTGACGTATCACTACAGTGTAGTTAGCCGTAGTTCTTCGACGAGTACCCTGTCTCAGCGAGACATCAATGTCCCAAGACGACATAGTTAGCCGAGGTTTGTCAACCGTCGGTCAGTCGAGAAGAAGAACCCGTGATTTGTGACAGGTACTCAGTTCCTGACACTATCTATCGGATGCTCTGCAAGCCATGGGACTTTCTGCCGAGGGCTACACTGGTCATAGCATTCGTCGTGGTGCTGCAACCTGGCGAAAGCTAATTGGGACAAGCAATGCGACTATCCAAGCCCTGGGTCATTGGGCTGGGGAATCCTATCGTCGATACATAGACAATCCGGAAGATTTTAGAACGATCTGTGGATTCCTTTTTGTCTTACCTCGAGGAGTCCCCGCTCGCGTCCCTTCTCAAAGGATATTTGGCAACCTTGGTGTATTCCGTTTCAAACTTCTCCCAGCATCTTCACTTCTTCGTTTACCAATCCCCTGTTTCTTATCCACACTTCTGTCCCCAACCACTCCATCCACTCTTAGTACTGTACTTGCTTTCTGCCCCTATGTCGCTTCCTTGCCTCGTCCTTCACTATCTTCTACTTTCCCTCGTCTGTTCCTCTTTGGATCACCACACCACCCGTCTAGTGCCAACGCTCAGCTCACCATCACACAGCACCTCGTCACGACTCGATCTGGGAGCGACGGCGGTCTGCGGCTGCGATGC